TCAATTTCCACAGTTCTATGCTTGATTTATGTTCTATTTAAAAGCTTGAAAAGTAACTCTGAGAAAGTCACACAGGTGATATTCAGCGTTGCCTTTTACCAAGCAGTTTGCATTTCTCAGTCATCACTTCATTTTTTTCATTGCACACTTTCTCCTGTCACTGTCTCCTTCTAGCATCATTAAATTATTGTGACAGTTTTTCTAATGTTTGTCCATCTGTCTGTCTGTTAATCACATTTAAGAGGCAAAAACCACATTCTGATTCCCAATTTTATCACTTAAAAGTCATATGATAATAACCATAATATATCACTGTTCTCTGATACTTGTTTTCTAAACACTTTACACATGAAGCAATAATATTTTCCCAGTTCATGACAAAGCATACCTAATATAGTATAAAGTAAATGTACACTAAATTATTTATATATTAATAAATGTTTTAGAAATAGTTTGTGCTATGCTATTTATGTATTCCATAAATGTTTGTGGATTTAATATTTTCTACCATTATTTAATTTCAATTTAGTTAACATAAAATCATCAATAGCAATACATATTCATCACTAAATTGACCTAAATTTCCCTCTAATTTCTCTATATATTTCACTTTAGTATTTGAACATTACATATATATTTTACATTACCCAGTTTTGATAAACTATGATTTGCTATTCTTGTCTTTTCAATAAAAGTAGATCAAATTAAAACTAATTAAATTCTCAACATATTCTGTAAGACAGGGTCTTTTAAAATATCATTATTGTTGGCCTACTTACTTTCAAACTAAAATTTACTAAAGTTTATGGAAAATCAAAACATTTTTCTTTTTTTTTTAACACATTTTTCCCACAGAATACATGCCACTTTCATGGCAGGGCTTTTGGCAAGTCAAAGTACACGCAGTTAATGTCAGCCATGTCACGGCCTTTGGCATGCTTGGGATGAGGTTTTGTGTTCCATTCTCATTATTTTTAACAAGCACTCTGAACAGTACTTCTCCATGGATCTATACAAATGCCCAAGTACTTTATGTACAACATATAATTATTTGGTTGTGTCACATGTTCTAAAGCAGAAATCAATTTTATGCTCCATTTCTACAAGTTATCTAAAATCCTGCAGTGAGATTGTCTATCATTTGGTGACAATCTTTTAAGGAAAGTCAGACGAAAACATGTTTAACAAGGAGGAAATTATGCCATCAGATTTGCTTCATTTGCATTTAAGTAGCTTTTGAGAAAAATCTGAAAGTTTAGGAAATTTATTAAGCTGTCCTGAGAAAGGCATGAGTAAACGTTTCCTTGAATGAAGTACTATACTTTAAAAGACATGTGCTAGAATTTGCTAGACACTAAAGAATGCATTTGTTAGAGTGATTCTATTCCTAAAAACGGATTTCATTTTGATAAAGTCCCATTTTAATTTTTACCTATTACACATTTATTTCCCAAATAAACTCTTTGTGTGTAGGATCTGTTGTACCATATGGTAGTCAGTATATGAAGCTATTCAAATTAGTATTAAATTAAAGCATACTGAAAGCATTGAATGGAGGTAGTGTGTCAAAAAAATTACATGAAATTAGGAGGGAGAAGTGTTGTGGTATGTGTGAAAAGTTGGAGGGAACGGTGTGGGGAAAGTAGACCGAAACAGTTTCTAGCCAGGCATGGCCGTGCATCTCTTTAGTTCCGGCACTCGGGTGGCAGAGGTAGGTGAAAACCACAGAGATTACAGAGATCACAGATCCAGGCCAGCACAGCAATTGCCAGGCCAGCTGGGGTTACAGTGAGACCCTGTCTTAAAAAGACCAAACAATGACACAACAATAACAACAACAACAACAAAATACTACATACTATGAAATTCTCAAATAACAAATAATATAAATGGGACAATTCACAGAGGAATAATCCAGTTTCTTAGTGGCATGAGCTACTTTGCAAATATTCAATGGCCACAAAAGTTTACAGACTACCCTTTTGGCCCTCAAAGATTGAAAACATCCACCATTACAGAAAGTTTTATTAGAAGCTGTTGCTTCAGAGAATCTACTGTTTCAAATTTCTAGTTCAAAGTGTTAAGTTTCACAGTTTTCAAATATTTTAATTCATGTCCAAGACATTTCATGCATGCCTACATAACCTATGCTTAGTGCTTGTTTCTTTTTTTGAGTTCTGTGTCTTTAATAATTACAACATCATCCACATATTAATATTAAAGAAATTAAAAGTAAAAAAAGCAGGAAATAGTATATTTCTTAAAATATGGGAGTGGAAATAGAGCGCTCAGGTGTTGAAAGCACTGGCTACTCTAGCAGAAGACCTAGGTTCAGTTCCTAGCACCCACATAACAGCTACCAACGATGCAAATCTCTGGTTTCAGGGGATCAAACACCCTCTCTGGCCTCCACGGGCATGGCACAACATGGGTGCACTTACAATTATGCAGGCATTAAATAAAAATGAATGAATCCAAAAATGTAAACAAATGAACACAACATTCTGATCCACATCTTCCCTGTATGGTTTTGTTTTCCATTTCGTGGGAGAAGCATCATTGTAGGAAACTAATCTAAAAATGCAAATTTACAAATAATCACCATTTATCTTTCTATTTTTTACTTCATCTAAACTCTTTTCAAAAATATATTTGTTGATTTGATAAATTTATACAGTGCCTTTTGATCACATTCATACCCCTCCCTCCACTCCAACGCCACTGAATTAACCACCCCGCAACTTCATGTCTGACCTATATTATTATTTTTGTTTGTTTGCTTTTAAAGGCCTATCAAGTCTAATCTGTGTTTCTCAAACAATTCTTTGAGGTTGTCCAGACACCAAGGGATAAATCTTTTTTTTTTTTTTATAATTCCTATACTCAAACATCCCTATTCATTTGGATTGACTCAAGAAGTCTGTAATCATATGAAAGTGTGCATCGTTTGAAGGTTACAGTATCAGTTGAGGCATTTTTCCATCTTATGTATACCTTAGGTCCAAAACTACATATGTTATTTATCAGAGTGATATATTTATCTATTTTTAATTAGTTTTCAACATTAGACATAACGTCAATTATAGTCTGGCAATCCATCATCAGAAAATACAATTATATTTTGAAAGTCCCATTATATTAATATCATAGACATGAAAATGTGTTAGTATATGTTTATATATATATCATATATATATTCATATATATCTTCCAAGATCATTGAAATACATTTGATTATTTGACTTCACAGTACTTGAGTTTTCTACTGTTCAGCAATGCTTTCAGGTAATTATAAAGAATTGCCCATTGACTTGGTAAATGTGACCCCTGTGCACATATTTTGAATAATGTCCAATACTTCATTTTTTATCACAACATTCAAGTCAAGCCAAAATAGGCTCTTTAGATTAACTTAGAATTTTTGGCTAAATGGCCTGCTTAGCTTTTTTTGTTTGTTTGTTTGTTTGTATGTTTTGTCTTTTTGAGACAGGGTCTCCTTGTAGCCCCAGATGTCCTGGAACTCACTATGTAGACCAGGCTGGCCTCGAACTCACAAATATCCACCTGCCTCTGCCTCCCAAGTGCTGGGATTAAAGGCATGCACCACCACTCCCTGCTTACCTTTTTAGAGCAAATGAATTCAGTCTTTTCAAATTACAACACAATGAAAATATATAGTTTTAAAAGACTGATGGCTTTATAAAGCATTTCATACAGAACATCTCAAACAATCTTGATCATATTTATACCTCTGTCTCCACTGGCTTCCCAAAACTCAGTCTTTCCAAAGAAATTTATTCACTTCCTTATAAATCGCTTTGTCCTATGATATAACTGTTTGTATCCTGAATTCTGTGTCATGTTTCAAATTTGCTTTGTAACTACATTAAAACCATCCCTTATAATTAAAAGAAAATAAAAAAAAAGACTGATGGCTAACATTATCCTCACTTTGATGATTCTAAAGATGCCTAAAGATCTCATCTTGATTTGAAACAATCATGAAAATTCTATCACTATCTACATATGTTCAGAATGGCTAGTGAAAAAAAAAAAGTTGAGAGGGAGATACGTGAGGAATATGAGGAAGAATCGGAGGTAGAATTGTTCTCAAGAACAAAGAAAAAAACTTAAATATCCAAGTCACTTCTCAGATAATTATTTGACATTGTTTCAAATGCCAAGATTAAGATTTTTCTGGCTTTTTGGCGTTTTGATTTGTTCATTTGTTTTGAGACAGGGTCTCACTGTTGCCCCAGCTGGCCTGGACAAGGTTGGCCTGAATCTCACAGAGATCTGCCTGCCTCTATCTCCAGAATGCTGGAATTAAAGGCCTGAACCACCATGTCCAGTTAGATTAGGCTTTTAATCTAAAATAATAAAAAAAATTAATAGGTTCATATAGTCTTTTTTAATACTTAAAGTTAATCATCTAGATGATGTTTGTGATAGAGTTGTGACTAGAGGGATTAAATGCAAGATATGACTGGGAGGGGGAAAAAGTGTTTTATAAGGATGGGACTCTTGGGGGACCAGTGGATAGACCCAGGCAGAAGGACATTTGAGGACATAAATCAGACTCCATAGGCGTGTGTGTGTGTGTGTGTGTGTGTGTGTGTGTGTGTGTGTGTGTATACATTAAATTAGAAGGTGCAGTTGGAGGAGTTGCAGTTATTGGAAGGGATCTAAATACTATCAAATTACATTGTATGAAAATCACAAAAAATCAATACAAAATAAAATTTAAAAAACCAGAATATGGGGTAATCTATTGATTTGTAAATGGAAAAGCTAAGCTCCATGCCTGCACACTATATCTATGGAAACACAAATGCCTGAAAAGGAATATGCATTCTGTGGAGGTTCTTAAAAGCAATGTAATTGCAAATTGTGCATAACGTTAGAAAGATTGATGTGACTGCTCACTCAAAATGTGAAGTACAACAAAATCTAACACTCCACAAAGAAGATATCTTTAACAAAATATTTTTAAAACGCACCTTAATTAGTTGATAGTTTTGTACTCCATTTATTCCTATATCAGGATCAATGGCTGCTGGGAGAGAGTATCGAGAGTTTATAGCTGAATTCTCTGGAATTGATATGTTGATAACGGTTGCTGGGAATAACGGAGCATTATCATTTATGTCTTCTATCAGAAAGCGTATCTTAACCAATCTGAATATTTCATCCGGCAAAACGGCAACCTCCACTTCATAAAAGCAACGAGCATCCAACAAGATTCCAGCACACAATTTCTCACGATCGATGCGAGCGCCAGTTGTGAAGATCTCACCCGTACCCTCTTCAATCCGAATCAGTGGTACATCCCCGGTTTTGTACACTAATTTAAACTGCATAGGGGTTGTTAAGGACTTGTCGGGAATTAGCGACAAGTTGAGGTCTTTCAACAAGTCGCCTATCAGGACGTTTTCTGGCATTTCTTCTCGGACCGTGTAATTCTTCTCCTGGGCGCCAGACTGGAACACGACGCATGCTAACAGGACCGCAAATATATACGTCCCGGACAACAAGTCCATACCAGGCAGGGTAGTGAAGGTACGCGGTTGTCACCCACAGAATACTAACAAAGAAAAAGGTGAGAGAGAGAGAGAGAGAGAGAGAGAGAGATTATTATAAAGTCAATCATAAAAGTGCATATTAACTAAATGCTTAGTTTTAAATTTTAATCATTAAATGAAATATAAACAAAATTGACTGTTAAATAAACAAATGATAGTTTTTTGTATCAACTGTTAGGCATCCTCACATTAAGAAATATAAAAGTTTTAAAAATAAAATTTTAAATGATAAATGAAACAATATGCTTATCACAGTAAAAGAAGCAATATTAGTAACAGTGTGCATTACTAAACATGCATATATAAAACAAAATATTTTAATATAGCAAAATAATTAAATGCAATACAAATAATTAAAATATTTAATTCAATACTTAGAAAAAGTAAAAGGATATTTATCATTGTTTATTTTACTACAAAACTCAAATAAGAATATTTTATTGAAAATAAACATTATATACAATATTCCATATTTTCAGTTCTGAGCATAAAAATGTAAAACAATCTGGATGAAAGTGGGTAAAGCATTATGACATATGAAGGATTTTGTATGTTTAAATTCAAAGAAAATTCTTTTAGGAGTGAAAAATTTTAATGTGACCAATATCTAAATATGGAGAAAAACTGTTTTACGAAATGGGGATTTGTTTTTGATTTGGGTGAGAAAACAAGAATATGCATAAATTACATAGAGGCAACTTTTGGATTGATGTACATCTGGTAAAACACACTTTTTCCAGGAGATATTGAATCAGACAGGATACAAGTATAGGACCACCAGTTTACATATACACATTATGATTAGAACTAGAGAACTGGACAAGATTATCCAAATACTCAGTAGAAGATTTGAGTAAGAATAAATACAAAAATGTGAGTTTATTTTTGCATACAGGAGGAGCTAGTTCATATAAAAAGAGAAAGTTAGATCTACAAACTGAAATAGGCATACACAAAGAATAGCTTCATTAGGTTTGAAAACAAGAAAATAATTATTATTGTTCAGATTGTTCAAAGTACTTCTTTACATTTAAAACACCAAAAAGAACTTTATCAGGTGATGGTTAAGTTATTCTTAGCATGATCAAATCTTCCTATGATAAAGTGCTGTTCAAAACTTCATATTGCATACCATAAAGCACACGTTATAAATCAATTAAACATAAATAACATTTTAAGAAGGGTAATAGACTTAAGTTTTTACTCAATTAAAAATGAATAAAAAACAATTCAGAAGGTTTATTTGTTTGAACTCATGGAAATCTTCCAATTTATTTTAGTTTTCTAATTCTGACAAAAGTGTATAATTCATTTGGATTCCTTTAGAAGCAACATTTTTCTTCAGTTTCCTTTGTCAACCTTCAATTCCTATTGTCGATTTGATTTTCTTGATATCTCCTTAATTACATATACTAAGTATAATTTAATCTCCAATATCATGAAGCTATTCATGTACATTGTTAAATAAATAAAACGAAATTTGCATCCCACTACACTAAACACTATGAGATATTATAATTTACAATTAAATATGGGTTAATATGGCTATCAAAGCATTCAGCAGTTTTAAAAGATCAGTAGATAGATAACTTGCAATTCCATTACAGAAAACTACTAATGCAGGTAGTTATGTAAATGACGAAGTTCTTGATATTTATTGGTAATAAACAACAACAATATTTAGCAATGGTTCTAAAAACAAGAAGTGTTATATTTAAATAACTTTGTTAGGATATAACAGCCATAAAATGTGATATTAAATTGTCCCACTGCAATAGCTAGACATCTTCATTTGTTTTAAATATATATATATATATATGTGTGTGTGTGTGTGTGTCTGTATATAGGCATATGCAGATTTTGAATCACATAAAAGGGAAAATGAAATCTTCATATTTGTAATCAAAAAGAGAAATAGCACATATGCTGCAGTGACTGAAATAGTTTAGTTTATACACAGAAACAAGTAATGAACTATGTAAACTTAAAAAATACTTTATTATTTTTATTTTAGTGCATGAGTGTATTGCCTGCATGTATGTAAGTGCACCCATGTCCTGCAGTGCCACGGAGGTCAGAAGAAGATGTTGGATTCCCCTGGAGCTGGAGTTATGTATGGTTGCTAGCCATCATGTGGGTGCTGGGAATCAAACCTGGGTCCTCTACCAGTGCTCTTAACTTCTGAGTCATCGCTCCAGCCTGAACTATGTAAACTTTAACTTAATATTTTGTTATTTCTGATAAAAGAATCTTTGAAATATACAATTACAGGTCCAACAAATTTCCTGTTTAGCTGTTGGTGTCGTTTCAGGTATAATACTTAAGACATTCTCTATCCTAGTAAAAACAACAGAAAAAGACTATATTGCCTGTAATACTGTATTTTTAGCATCATTTGCTTAATGATGAGCATTGGGATTACACAATATAGAAACCTGTTCAAGATTTAGTCCCTTGTGAGTTATTGGCTTTTAACTTTGCTCTGCGTGTGCGATTAAAAATACCCCATTGATACCTTGAGCTAATACACACACACACACACACACACACACAGGTGTGTTTCCTGTACACCGAATCTAGGACACCTAAAAATGTGAGTGTCTGTGTGATTTTATAAATACAATGCAAACATAAGCAAAGCAAAAATGGGACACTGGCAACTGGAATTAAAACTACCACTCTATTCTTATCTTACTCTTAGGTATTATACATTATTACAACTGGCAGAAGAATGCTGCAGATTATTTTTGAAAACATTGCAAGTGTGTTACACTATCTCTACACAAAGAAAAAGAATTAAGACAATGACCTAATTCCAAGAACTCCCTTTCTCCCAATTCATTCTAAATATATTCTACTCTACCTTTAATGCCATCATCACACAAAATATTTTAAAATGTGTTTCATTTGAAATGCATCCAGAAGATTTAAAATCTAGAAAGAGTATAAGGATTAAGCCATATAATTTCTAAACCTTAAGTGGAGGTACATAATGAAATTGTCATAAAGAACCCATTATTCTGTAATTATGTATAATTAATATATGCTAATAAAAACATAAACCAATTTAGCCAATATAAGCTTCTGTATCTTAATGAAACGTATATCTTATGACTGTAATGAATTCTGTATTAAATAATCCAATTGAACTTTTAGCAAAGTAAAAAAAAAAAACCTAAAAGGAATATCTATGTTCCAGTTACAAGTAATTTCAGAAAAATTCAATTTGTCGGGGTTTATTCTTTTATTCAAGAAATATTTATTAAGCAAATATTCTATGCTAAGTATTTTGTGGGCACCAGGAACCCATACGTGAAATATATATACAATACCTCCACTCTCCTATAATTTATATTTGATAATGATTATTCCAGCATATCCTTACTCAGTTTTCAGCTATTATATACTGAACTCAAATATGACTTTATCAGTGTGTGAACACTGATATTTAAATGAATTCTATTGTCAAATTTTCATGTTAGCCCTTACATTTTCTATTTGAAAAACTTACTGTTATCTATAAAACATTAACGGTTTACTTTCTTTTCAAATGTTGAGTTGATAATTCCTTAAATGTCCACTGCTGAAATTTTGTTACTAAATATGAAAGGAAATAGTCAAACAGTCACAGTCCACTTTAGGAAAGTATGATACATTTAGCACAGCTACTCAGGAAAAATATGCTTACACATATATATTTTCTTGGCTACATTTTCCAAAAATGATTAAATATTTTTTTTTTGTCTTTTGGGAGAGAATCTCCCTGTATCCCCATCTGGTGTAGACCAGGCTGACCTTGAATGACACAGAGATCACCTGCTTCTGCTTCTCAAGTACTGGGATTAAGGGTTTGAGCCACCATGCCCAGCTAAATATCTTTGGACTTTATTTTCCTTCCCTTACAAGCCATTCCTACTGCAGACTAAAGTTAATTTTGAAAACTGATATCGTAAACACAAAGCAAGCAGTAACAGAGAATTAAAAATCTCTACATGTTTCTGTATTACATATAATGGTGAAGTACCATCAGCTTTCCATACCATGTTGCGGTTGTGTAGGGAATAGCTGTATATACAAAAATAACATATCTTGGCAATTAGAGAAAACAAAAGCAGAAAATAAGTTCCTCAAAAAGGTAAAGAAAAACAAACCTGAAGGTTCAACTTATGGTATGAGGAATTCAGGTCAAAACAAAATAATCAAAGAAAAGTATGGCTGCCATTTATGCAATTCTACAAAGTTCAAATCACAAAGTAATGTTCAGTTTTTCTTCATTTACTATAGATTTAAAATGGGCTCTGGGCCTCAGACATTTGATATTCCCTAATCTGCCTTCAAATTTCTATGTTAAGCAAACCTTGTGGTTCAGGCCTATGAATAACAAGTCTACAATGGTCAAGGACACCCAGCTGTTCAAATTGTTTGTCAGGATGCAATTGTTTTTGTTAATTATAGTGTTGTTTTCATTTGTTGTGCATTTTAATTAGTTACATATGAATGGCTAATTTACATGCTATGATAACAACTGTTAAATTGTACAAATATGAGTCTTACAAGAAAAGATACATTCATATGCTGCCCATTCTCCATACTCAATTTGTCACTCACCATTTTGATAATTTTTATATATTCTGAAGGCAAAAATACACTCTTCAACATCACAATGTGTGACATAGTCACTTCTTCATTTATGCACGCACGAAGAGGAAAATTTCTTTTGGAGGCATAGTAACATACTCTAAGTGTTGAGAAGTAACCAACCACATTAAAAGAAGCTCAAATGGGAACAAGATAAGCACAATTCTTTAAAAATGACATAACATAGAGGGAATAGGTGCTTTGGCAGCCCTAGTTGACATGAGCATTTTAGGTAAAATTCTGAAAATTGTGAAGGCAAATTGAAAATTTTAATTATTACAATTATACAACATGGTATTTCCATTAAATTTCATTCCATAATGAGCTTGTATTATTTTATTACATTTTAAAATTATTTTGTTAT